ATATCGTAACGCACATTTTAATTCCACGATTAAAATGGGCAGCGCCAATGAGAATAATAGGTATACCTAAGAGTATACTAAGGGCACCACACTAAGAAAGAAAAATACGATAAAAATTATAAGCACTCAACGCCCAAATAATTGGACTCTCATGTCCAAAATATCCATATTAATAAAAATTTGGAAAAAGTATGGTTTGAAAATTTTTACTAATTTTTTTTTTAAAAATTCGAAATCTAGTACTCGACTAAAGATAAGCCTTATAATGTGATTAACAAGTGCTTCAACTACTTTCTCAAAATGAAATTAATTGAAATGAAATATAATAAAAATGAGTCAAGTTTCAGTTACACTCGGATTAACTCTCAAGGGGGTAACAAGTAAAAAAAATTGAATAAATTAAAAACCAAAAACAAAATGTCTGCCAATATGGCGAAAGTTGTTATCGTAATTTATGAGCCCAAAACTTTTTGCTTCAACTTTCTCGAAGTTGTACATGAGTTGGCAACTTATGTTTGTGCGTGTATATGCATGTATGCGCATGTAACCTAAGACATTTGCTCCGAAAGCGCGTGTTTCGACGAAGTTGTTATGAAATTTTTATCGCTTAAAAGACGAGTAGATTTGTATGTGAATAGGTGAGTACGTGTGTGTGTATGCGTTTGCAAACGGACGTGTATGCGAAAACTTATATATGTTAAATTGTAGCTGGGAAATTAAGGAAATTTTTGCTTTATCCTCGTTTCAATAAGTCTGATTTATTGGCTTAGCATTTGCGGTAAATAATCTATAAAATATTATGGAAGTATTAATGTTAAATATGAAAAGTTACCAATCGAATTGAAATGGATCTAATATATAATATAGAAAGTAAAAATAAACATTTCGTACGGAAGTAATTAAAACAAATAATAAAGTATACAATATGAATAGCTCTTCAGTGTGCCATGGACCCGGTCAAAGCGCTTTCCTATATAGCGCTTTGTAATCTCATTTCTATATAGATTTTGTATGAGAATGACGCTATCTTTATAAATTTAACAAGTAAATACACTAGTGTTACCACACTTATATATATAAATATATATACCATATTATATGTAAAATATATTTTATAATTATATTATTGTTACCAATATTTCGTTTTTGGTATAATAATTTATGAATATTTTTATATATACATATATAATTTTTAAACGAATTTAAATGCTATATAACTCAATATTGATCAATTATTCCATTCAAAACTATATAAAAAATAATACTAAAATGATAATGCAGTGTAATATAAATGAAATATATGCGTTTCTTCATACTTATTTCGATAGTTCGATTAAAGACGGGATGGATCCGCGTTCTGAGTTCGTGAACAATTTCTTTTACAATTTATATAACCTCTCCTCTTCGAGAAGATCTTAAATATGTAAGTCTACTTAAGCAAATTAACAATTAAGGGTTATGCTCATCTTTCGATGAGGCCAAAATAATACTTAAATCATATTCTCGTTTTGCTCGTCTAACACCTCTGTATAGTACGGTAAATATTTGAGCGATTTCAGATTCATATTTATATATAGGTGAATCATTTTATTGCTAATCGCATACTAACATACACAAATCAACTTTGATAGATAATAATAATAGATAATAGATAATATTAATTTAATAGATAATATTATTGATTAGCAACTATCTTGCTTATTCTGTATGAGAAGACTTCTTAATCAAAATTGAGATTTCAGGAAGTAAATGATTCAAGAATTATAACTAAAGAGTATTTATGGTAGTCAAGATATATTTTTGTGTAAAGTTTAATTTAAATAAGACATAAATATTTGAATTAAAAAGTTTATAACTAGTTAAGAGATAAGCTCTTTTACACGTTTTCACAATTAGTTGAAAAAATATTCTAACCTGAGGAAGAAGTGAAATACACTGCCAAGCGTCGGTGACCTTTATAAAGATAATGACCATATAAATTAAAAATAAAGAAATGAAAAGCCCACTGCAAAGTTTTTTTGTTCAGATTCACAGAAAAAAGCCTATGAAAATTAAATAATATACCGTTCTTTCTTATTAAATCTTCTATATTTAGTAATTAATTAGTTATTGGTAATTAATTGAGAAACTAAACATAAGAGGAGATTGATCACTTTTTCGGAGTCTCTATATACAATGGATCAAGATCATTTTTATATTTATATCTTTATATTTTTTATGTCTTATATCTGATACCTTTTGATATATGCTTTCCCGGTACTGTTATTGTACAATATACTGAGGGCATAGCCCTCAGGATTTGATTATGAGAGCATGACAGTGACATAGCTCCAATTTGCTTGAAAAACTGGAGGTTTGAGCATAATAAATAAATACACTAATTTGTTGATAAACTTTAAGAGAAAATTAATAAAACCACAGAAAAATGTGTGAGCATACAAATCATGTACGGCTTTAGGTCAGTTGATTAATGAACGCTGACTCTGAACTTCATATATGGCAGAGCACAAGTTGAACTTCTGATACTTGCAGTCTCAAAAAATTTTTCATAAATAATTAAATACAAGAAATAATTTTAAGACCACTGATGATGGCTATTGGGCTATATGGTCAGCCAAAAACTTAATTAATTAAAATAATATGAATATAATTTTTGTTGTTATAGTTCACTACTCTTCGAAACCTCTCTATTAAATACCACAGTTTCTATTAAAGTAAAAATAGTCACTGCTGTATATATTTTATTATTTACGTGTTTTTAAAATTTTTTATTAGAATTTTTTCTAACTATAAATTTATCAAGAAGCTGCACTATTTTTAGTTCTTTTTAGGTTCATTTTTATATGTATCATAATCCTGCATTGTAAAGTATTGTGCTTGAAAGCTTTTATATCAAATCAGCTATAATGTCAAGAAAACTATACAATTTCCAACTGTTACATAATTTATTTCTGCTTAGGACTTTATACACGACTTCAACTCATACTAGACGAAGAAGGAGTCCTACACAGAATTCTTGATTTGTGCTCGTCGGTGAAAATATAAAACTTTTTCCAAAAGTGCTGCATTGAAATGAAAAGATAAAAAATGACTTGCTTCTATCTGAGATGCAATTGTTTTCTTCTATGAACTCACTATGGAAAGCAACCAACATCACTTTTTCTTCATTTTTTATTGCATATATTTTCCTAAGTGTAAGAATGACATGTGTTGCATCTTCCAACCAACATGTAAAAGTTAAAAATTGCTTCCATTGTTGGTGGATCCAGAGTAATGTGCCTAGTTAGCGCTTCTTGTAAATAATTCTAAGTGAATGATAGCGTTTCGTACGAGATAAGGAAATAAACAGCAATCGTGATATATAAAAGAATGAAAAATATAAGAGAAATTATAAAAGAAACAGTAAATGTATAAAAAATGTTAGAGATTTTCTCGTGCATTGCTCAATAGTGACACGGCAATTGAAAGGAAAAACGAATGAATATTGACTTCACAAACAAAATTTAATAATAAGTAACTATCTACAATCTAAAATATGTAAAATATTTTTCTCTTTTTCCTACATTGATTTTTGTGTTAATGGAACTGTTGTTTTTTGAAGACATCTGACATAACAAAATATGTCAGTCAACTGAAGAAACATAACCTTACATATTTTATTATTATTATTATCAAATAATAGGCTATGAATGCACTCCAACCTAGAAGATCTATTGTGCGCCTAAAGGTCCAATTAAAACAATTTTAGACTCTTTATAAGTCTCGTGATTGCTGTGGGCTTGATTTTACCTATTTGATTTAGTACTAAGACCCCGTTTCCAAGGTAGTCAATACTACGTACTGCCGTCACTGTGCACTTGCATATAACTTAATATGTTCTGATTTTCCTTCTCCTCATGACAGACACCACAGGAATCAGTTTCTAGTTCTACAGTGTCCTGTAAGAAGTTCAGTGTGGAGTTTAATATAGTTTCTGCTAAGGTTAAGGACAGCGTTAACTTTGATGTGTTCAGGATCAATGCGTCTTCTTGACTACCACATGCTTCTTTGGGCACCCTAGTGTTCAAGTAGATTTTATTTCTCCCGTACATAATAAGTTATTTGTGAAGCTATTTGTTACCACGCAGAAGGGCTTTGGATCAATGAAAGGAGTACATGCACCCATCTTTGATAGGGAATTCACTATTTTATTACTCTCATGTCCTTCATACCCCGGTACCTATGTAAAAGTAACATAGCATTCCTAGTATTCCTTGATGCTAGGGTGAAAAACATTCCAACACCAACTTTGATCCGTACATAAGACAAATATTTTTATTCTATGTTCACCCCTTTCACTTAACTTTAAACTTTAGGAATGTATTAAATATAAATATATATTTAATAATGTCGATAATTAACTAAATTCACTATATTGATTAAATTACTTAAATGAACTGAATTGAAAAATGGCTAAATTGAATTCAGACTATTGAGTTTGTATTGAGAATTACGTTCTGATAATTGTACCAAAAGAGTTTCTATTTACAAGGAATCAAAGACGATGGGTAGATGGTTAGGTTGCAGGGGATCTCAATAAGTACCTCAATAAGCGATTTTTCTCTATGAGATAATACACATATTTATTGATCCGTTTGATTTGTGGAAAAAAAGAACAATTTATATTTATTAGAGATTTCTTATAGCCTATTTCATACCACTGGTACTGTATATATCGAGAAAAATATTTCGATATATAGAAATACAAACGTATTTCACTTTTACCCATGTCGAAATTTTAAATTAAAGATAGATAAATTTTCCTCATAGAGCTGGACAGATTGTTTGACTTTGTATGTCAAATCATTAATTTTCTATCTCAATCTTAATAAAAAAATTGTTACTTCTAATACATTTGTGATTATTTCTATTTAGATCTAGGATTCTTCGAGTATACTGCAATACCAACAATTTAAAAGAAATATTTGACAATAATTTTGAGAATAAAAAATCGATTAAGTGAAAACTTTTGTCAAAGCTGTAAGCAAATATATATTTTTAAAACGAAGTTGCGTATTAGTATTCCTTGTATTATGGCGAATACTGAACGTCTGCCTCAAAATGAATCTTCAGAAAAGAAAACTGTAACACTCTTCAGTATTCAATACAATATTGAGGATTTGGACAGTTTCAAACTTAGCGTGAATATTGAAGAGTTTTATAAATACATTACGGCACTTTTAAATGATGAAAAGAGATCAAAGAATTTTGATGCCACCAGTATTTCAAGGTACCGAACAATCCATGTAGTTGAACATAACTACAAAAATTCAATTTCTTTACAGATTGCTTGCGGAACAAATCAGTAAGTTCAATAGTGTCGCAAATTCAATATTTAAAGATAAAACACTGCTGAACAATCCAAAGTCTGTTCCAAAGTCTGGTAAGTTATATGTTTTATATAATATGATTCAATCACGCTTGCTATTAATGAACAAATGACCTTCCTTATCAGTCCCTACTGCCGCCAATAACCCAACGAAAGTCAATTGTTCAAAAAAAAGGAAGGTAGAAAAGATGCAAAATCCCATTAAGAAAAAAAAAGAAAATGGTAAATGTAAGGAAGTTCAACATGTGTTAAATGCCAACACAATGGAAGAGGAGTTTGATCATCGCAATATTCAGTATGTTTCAAATCCTAGCACAGCAGAGGAGGAATTGAAGGCGAAAAAGGTTCAGATGGAGTTTCAAGATCAGGACGGACAGCGTACACTAAATCCTAATAGATTGGAAGAGTTAAAGGATATGGAAAAATGTGCTGGAACAGCTTCGGACAAACAAAATGAAGAACATAATAAACCGCAGTCTGAGGTAACATCACGATATTTCGATATTTATTAAATAATACATAACGTTTGATATCTGACACTTTTTTCATTTGTGAATGCAACAACTTTTAAGATAGCTGAAGATTAGTATTAGTGTTGTTAATTAATGAACTAGTACTAAAGAGTCATATATAGTCTAATGATTTGTAATTTGGTTGCAAATTTAGAAAGCTAGGACTCAGACTTAATTCATAGTCTGAAGTTTTAGAATTTGTTTAACAAGTAATGTCAAAAGTTAATTGACAGTTTGAAGATTACGTATATAGTTCTAAAAATAAAAGAATAATATAAAGAAAGATATTATTAATGATATAAAACTAATGATCGACAGTAAAATCCTTATGGAATCTGTTTTGTTATCAATGTTTTGTCTCAATGGTTTTATTATGCATTTTTACGTATATGTTATGCTTGTGGCAAGATGAATATGTTTGATTGGTTGGTTGCAGTGGCTGACCATTAGACAACTTCCATTCACCTCAAATAGTGATTTTTCGTCGTTTTGCTACTATATTCCTTGCAGGAACTTCTAATATAAAAGAGTAGAGATTAAATCAATCCCATCGAATTTAAATAATTTAATAGATCTCTCGGCTTCACCGATGAACAATTTGCTAAACCGTCAAAGAAATATATTCCTAAAAACCTATTTCTTCTGGACGAAAAAGCCATCATTCACAGACAAAATGTGTTATGGTTTCTTGTTTTTACGGGTTTCTATAACTTATACAGTGAGAAATATGAGCAGTTTCTCTGCATGGGTTTCTATACACCAATGACCAGAAGGAACTGCAGTAAGCTTTACAGTATTCACTCGGTCTCTTTTGATGAGTTCCGACGATCCAAATATATTAGAGCTGTGGCATATTGATTGGGAAGTTGCACATTACTTAAATGCTTTCCATCTGTTATTGGTAATATGAAGAATGTGGATATAGGTAGTCCTCTTAGTGATCTCTAGCAGGCTATACTGTCAGCTTTCATGTTCCCTTTAATATTCTTATGTTCAGAACCCAGATAAGGGTGATGTCGACCAACTGATTTAAGTCGTCAATTTAAAGATGATGATGATGCATAATAAAAGTGATCAGATGAATTTGTTGAGTCCGATTATTTGTATACCGCTGCTAGATCTTGATGTCGTTTTAACCTATATATAAGCTCGACTTATGCATATAATAATGAAATGGGAAGACTTTAATATACTGTTTTCTACATTTTTTTTTTTTTATAAATTCAATTCAAATTTATTCTTTACAATTTTCATTGCACTTATATATTTAAATTGTGTTTTAATAATTTTTTCAAGCAATGTGAAAACGCATTTAGCGAACTTCAAGAAAAAATCTTCCACTGTTTTGATGAGTTCGAAACTAATTTGCTTGGTATTCAGCAAAAACTCAAACGTTCAACGTTATGGATCAAAGCTTACGAATGTGAACTAGAAGAACGCAGGTCCAACTACGAAGAGTGGTACAATAATTACATACTAAAGGTAATAGTTAAAAAATAATTATTCACTTTTAACTAAGCCATATATCATACAACACTATTTCAGTTACCTCTGAAGAACAAGCATAATGATGGAGGCGTAGAGGGGTCTAAGCCGCAAAAATAAATTATCATTAAAGCACAAAGTACTACAGTTAAAAAACGAAAGTCCTAGGTATATGGTATGTAGTTTAGTACTTCAAAAGATATCTTGGCGACTGAGTCCACATGCCATTTATTAGTTAAATACAAGTTTATTACCACAATTATTTTTCGGTACTTTTAAGCAAAGAATAGTATTTATTGCAGTAGATTACTTAAAATTAATATATTTTTGAAATTTTACGGTGTACATTCAATAAAGATGTGGTTTTGTTATTTAATAATATTGTATTCTTTCAATTTACAATACTATGAGAAGGTCAAAATTTGGACATAAGTTTTCCTCTCTAATTTTGCATACGATTAATAATGTCAATCCCAAAGCTGCAATGAGTGAAAAATATATTGTCGGGAATGTTCAATTTTTGATATCTCATTGTAGCGGGTTAAGTTGACTGTAAGATGACTATGGTAACTACTTGCATACATCACTAAAATTTTGGTCCACCATCCTGGTAATCTCCCTATTTTAAAACTGAAAACTTAGTTCAGTGCAACGATGAAAAGTACAGTTAGAGCAAACGTTGGTTAAATATTTTAGCTATACTTTTTTAGTAACGAGATTACTCTTAAAATTAGATAGTTACTAGGTTTCACTACACGATTAGTGTTTTAATTCTACCAACGCATTTAAGTGTTAAATAAGAATAATTTATCTCCGCCTGTTAATACTGCTATATATCAAGATATCGTTTTTGGTCCGCTTTTATATGCTTATTTTCATCAGATATACTCACAAGTAATCCTTCTGCTATGCTTAGGAGAAAGCAAGATAACACCCTAGTGCATAAAAAATGTGATAACTTCACTGAAATTAGAGTTCCTCAGTCAAATGTACGTTAATACTTAAGCCAGAAAAACTACGTTTGTGTTTAGACACTTACGCAGAAAAAGATCAGACCATCTTAGGCTATAGAGCTGGTTTATCCATGCAACTTCAGTAGGAGTATGCATTCCTCCTTTGTAAAACATAATTTAGGCTATTGTTAGATTAATTGACCGGCCTGAGAAAACCCGTAGACTCTGCATAAGGATGACTGCAACCACTAGTCACATTCTCTGTGACTGCCCGACATTGATCTCAGACAGGAAGAGATTACTAGACAGGGACTATTTTCTATTGACTGTCGCACTTTGATCTGGACGAGAGAAAGTACTACACCACAACTACTCGCTGACATTAGCCTTTCTTTTGATAATGCTATATACTATATGATATATATATACTCTATTAATTTGATTGATTTTAACTAAATCGCAGTACCAAATATACTTACGCACCGCATTATATTGATTAAATCATACCACATATTGGTTCTTCTTTACCACTTGAGTTAAAGTTTTTTCTAACAAAATAATCAGGTCAATTTAAATTCTGTGTGGGTTAAAGCATATTTTTCTGAGTGTTTTATATTATATTGATTATATTTTTTATTGACTCTTTAATATTTCATTCCCATCAGATTTTAAGGTGCTCTCAGTAGTTGCCATTTTGGGATTCATTTATTTATTCACCAAGTATTATATAGAAATCTAAAAGACCAGTCATGTAGTGCTTCGTTCCACTGCAACAATTTTCTATTGTAATAGATATGTAAGTATTTTTACGATTCAAATACATATACTTATTATTTTTTTTTATTAAGAAAGCCGTTTTGAATCCATAAATTCTCGTATTAATGGGTAGTAAAGAGAAGATGAAGCTAGAACCAGCGAGAGGCTTTTATAAAGGCAAAAAGTTAGTCAATCCTTAGGATTGACTAGGATTATCGCCGAGTGTATTGAGGTAGGCATCGCCTAGTTCTTGTCAAGCCTGGATATAGACGCAGCAGGTATTCTGGTGTCTTTTCTTCGATAGCTGGTAGACACGCATTGCAGCAGATGCCACAGAGTAGGCTCTGTAAGCACAGATATTAACCTAGATATCTCTGGTTTGTTTCTGCGTAATAACTCAGAGGTATTACATTTAAAATAAAATGGCTATGTAACCCTGACTGCTGAGACGGCAAGGGCGCACTCATTAAAACTTATTATTAGTTTTTAGTAAAAAACAATTCAATATATACTTTTAATGTATTATACATGGTGGTATAAAATTATAAATTGGTTGATCTATGGAATCAAAATTGGCTAATGTTTTGGCAAATATGGCTTCTTCCTTTAGAGCTTTCTTTTGATATCTAAGTTTAAGATTACAAAGTTATTTCTTTTGGTACTTTTGCTGCTACTTTTATTTAAATGTTATTTTGTATATTTAATTTTATAAATTAATATACTCATATTAAGGTATCTTAAGAGGGGAGAAAATGTATTATTACGTTTTTAATTACTGATAAATCCTTTATCACTACTTTCAACATGTTTCTCCGCACACATCCCACATATTGCTTTCATATATTACTCCACGATAACAACACATGACAGATGTTTAATAATGCAGAAAATATTCGGTGTATTCCATTATCGTTCATTGGTTATACAAGCATCAGAAATATCAAGAGATTTTTTCATGCAGGTCTTACTTATTCCCTAGATACGGATAAAAGCAAAATATTTATTTCCTTTTTTGTATGCCATTGGTTTATGTGTCAGCCAATTCCTATGGAGCCATAAAGCATTTGCAGTGAATATATGCCCATCGCTTCCTTGTAGACAATAAAAACGAGCTCCTCGCCAAATGCTACAACGCTTAACGTATTGAAATACATCCATGTATGTTAATATTGTACATACGGCTCGTATGTAATAATATTAATAGTTTATTGAGATAATGCACTTGGTTTGTGGAGGACCTTTCAAAACAAATTTTCAATTTTATTGCAATTTAAAAATGCAGCTTCAATACTAAAGTCGGCCACAAGAAGTCGTCTCAGTTTAATTCAAAATTTTTGGCAATGTTGCGTTAAAACTCTGTGGCACGTTTTACAGCAAAAACAGTTGAGAATATTCAAATTTCGTATATTTTTATTTCGTTTTAAGTATTATTATTTGAATTTTTTCAAAGACGTGGAGAAAAATAAAAATAATTCATATTTTTCAACACGTACAAAGGCAGTAGGCAACAGCTGCCGCAGTTACGGTCATGGCAATAAAAATTTACTTAAAAAAGTATTACCCCGAAATAAAAATAATGTACAGCCAGCAAAAGGAAAAAAAATTGCTGCACTGAAAAAGAAATATTACAGTCATTACAATACTCATTCATGGGGCTTTTGTACATTCGGCCGTCTGTTCGCCGTTGCCACGGTACGTTGTGCTCAACCGTACCGTGGCAGGCAGCAATTTTGGCACTCAGTAAAAATTAAAAATTTAAAATCGTATGCCAAACAACTTTAACCTGTGTTAGGAGTGAAGGTTCAATGGTTAAGCCACTAGATTTCGAACATTATTAAAACGGGGAACAAAGACACAGTGCCGGATTTGGTATCAGCTCATATTTTCTTATGCTAAAACTTGCTACACCACTTCTATGACATTATTGCAATGACATGTAATTTTGCCAAACGAAGTGATTCATGTAGGTTAGTAAGATTAAATAAATATCATTGGAATAACACACACTAAGAAAAACTACTTGCATTCGATTAGTTCCATAATAGGCTGGCGATTGCGTCTACTATACGGAGACACTCATAGATGATGCCCAAGTAACATAGTAATAACAGCTCGCAGACATATCGGAATAGCTTTAGAAGTTTTGCTAGAATTTTTGTAAAAAGCCGGACTTATTCACAGTACAATACTAAGAAAAACTACTTGCATCCGATTAGTTCCACGACAGATTGGCGATTGAGTCTACTATACGGAGACACTCATAGATGAACGGTATACCTTTAGAATTTTTGCTAGAATATTTGTAAAAAGGTGGACTTATTCACAGTACAGAAGCGTTTTTTACAGCTCAATGAAAAATTCAATTTAGAGATCGATATATCCTAACCCTAATTGGATTAGCGCTCATTTTGTCGGGTAGTTTTTACACAGTTAATGCCAAATAGTATATATTCCTTATTTATATATAATATAAATATTGTGTTATATAGTCAAGGCGTAGAGAAGGGTTTTGAAGACACTTCGAGTTAATAGAGAATAAAACTGCTCAAGTGCACTGGCTCAAATAGCTTCAACATTATAATAAGTTATTGTTGATATAATTTCCTGAATTAAATAAATGTAAATTTTTAATAATTTAAAACACATTTCTTCAAGCACATAAAAAATCTCTAAAAATTTCTTGAGTCTTGAAAAAAAACTTCTGTAGCAATTTTTTAGTGCTAAATTTAAGGGAATAACCAATTAGCTGGCAAAACGTCTAGTATTATAATAAAAATATTATAGAATATGAACTATTTTATACTGTTTGCCGGAAGTAATGGTAATATTTCTCTTATCCAGCAGGTATGTTATATGACGATCTTGAGTTATTGGTTTTGGACGACCTACACAAACTTCGTCCTTGAGCGTATGACTGATGCAGTCTTGTCCTAATATTACATATTAAAAAACGTTATAACATTTATCATTGCACTAAAATTTTTCGTTAATTTGCCCCATTAATATTATTCAGACTTAAATTTCAAATCAGTGAAAAGAACACAAATTGCACTCAAATGAAGTAATTTTTTCAAGAAGATAAGGATTAAAAGTGTCATAAGTTCTAATAGATATATTAGTATGTACTTTACAATATTTTAGTTTGCATTTCCACAATAAAGTATGTTTTTACTAATCATTACATTATTTGCTAAGTGTGAAAGATTAAGCTCAACCCCAGCAAGATCTCTGACATAGTCACTGTAGGTGGAAGATCGTAGCAGAGACGTTAGTGTCTCGCGCATCAACTTAAAGCCTGGCAAGATTCCTATTCGAGCGACCCTCTTCGACGTAATGCGAAAGAGGATGGAGGGGGAATAAGTCTCGCCAAAGAAGGGGTGTAGTAGTCCGTACACTATATATTTATATTAGGGAGTTGGGCACACCATTCCGACAACTATCTGTCTGACGGTGCAAAAGGCTTTCCAATTCCTCACCACCAAAACAAAAAAAAAAAAACAAAAAAAATTATTTGTAACGATGTGTCAGTGGTCATAGTCCATGTGTACGTTTTCATACTCATGGACTAGCTTATTTAATAAGCTGTTATTTAATAATTATTTTTTTGTTAACAAAACTTTCATAGAATATTAACAAAACTGCAGAAAG